GGGCGTGGCCTGGAAGGGGAAAGTTGGCCGGCGGGGGCGTGGCCCGGAGGGGATCACGGCCCGGCGGGGGCGGGGCGTGAAGGAGTAAAGTGGCTGGTGGGGGCGGGCCTTCCTCGGGGTGGCCCCGCCCTTCGCAGGCCAGGCCACGCCCCCGCAGCGCTGCCAACGCGCTGGGGCTGACTCCTCCCTAGCCGCTGAGGCCACGCCTCCTCGCGGAGGCCACGCCCCCTCACCCCTGCTCTCAGCAGCTCCACGTGTCCGGGCCGGGTCCCTCTGATGGCGAGGGGGGGGGGGGTGGTGGTTGTCGCCCCCTGCCCACCTTCCCCTTATGTCCCCCCCCAGGGCTGTCAGCATGGCAGGAGCGACACCACCAGCGGGGCCAACCGGGTCCCGGACCAGTGGTCCGGGCACGGCCGACCAGCCCTACGCCTGCCGGGAATGCGGGAAGGCCTTCAGGTGGTCATCCCGCCTGGCCCACCACCAACGCAGCCACACGGGCGAACGGCCCTACAAGTGCCCCGAGTGCCCCAAGGCCTTCAAGGGCTCCTCCGCCCTCCTCTACCACCAGCGGGGCCACACGGGCGAGCGACCCTACGCCTGCCCCCAGTGCGGCAAGGCCTTCAAGCGTTCCTCCCTCCTCCAGACCCACCAGCGGGTTCACACGGGGCTGCGGGCTTTCGAGTGCGCCCAGTGCGGTCTCACCTTCAAGTGGGCGTCCCACTACCAGTACCACCTCCGGCAACACACCGGCGAGCGGCCCTACCGCTGCCCCGCTTGCCCCAAGGCCTTCAAGAACTCTTCCAGCCTCCGCCGTCACCGTCACACCCACACCGGCGAGCGGCCCCACGCCTGCCCCGTCTGCGGCAAAGCCTTCGCCCAAGCCACCAACCTCCGGCAACACCAGCGGGTCCACACCGGCGAGCGGCCCTACGCCTGCTCCCAGTGTGGTAAGACCTTCACCCACTCTTCCAACCTCCTCCTCCACCGCCGCACCCACACCGGCACCCGGCCCCACGAGTGCCCGACCTGCGCCAAGGCCTTCGTCTCCGACGCCTGCTTGCAGAAACACCTCCAGAGCCACGCCGGCCACGCTGCCATGCCGCCGCTCCTCCCGGCTCCCGCCGCACCGCCGGAGACGCTCTGGAGGTGCTCCGCCTGCCCGCTGAGCTTCACCAGCGAGGAGGAGCTGCTGGGTCACCAAGGCAGCCACTCGGTGACAGCGGTGACCCCCCCGGCTGCATCCCACCGCTGCCCCACCTGTGGCAAGACCTTCAAGAACAGCTCGGGGTTGGCCCGGCACCGGCACGGCCACGCTGCCGAGCGGCCCTTCAAGTGCGCCGTCTGCCCCAAGACCTTCACCCAACTGGCCGGGCTGCTGGGCCACCAACGCAGCCACCCCGCTGCTGTCCCACCTCGTCCCCCCCCCGAGGATCCTCACCCCCCAGCGGTGCCCCAGCCTGCCCCGGAGCGCCCTTACCAATGCACTGAGTGCGGCAAAGCCTTCAAGGGCTCCTCGGGGCTGCGTTACCACATGCGGGACCACACGGGTGAACGACCCTACGCCTGCCGCGAGTGCGGCAAGGCCTTCAAGCGTTCTTCCCTCCTCCAGATTCACCAGCGGGTTCACACGGGGCTGCGGGCTTTCGAGTGCGCCCAGTGCGGTCTCACCTTCAAGTGGGCGTCCCACTACCAGTACCACCTCCGGCAACACACCGGCGAGCGGCCCTACCGCTGCCCCGACTGCCCCAAAGCCTTCAAGAACACCTCCTGCCTCCGCCGCCATCGCCAGCTCCACACCGGCGAGCGGCCCCACGCCTGCCCCGTCTG